GGTATGGAAAATCGTTTCAAAGCACACAGCTGGCATTGGAAACATGCAAAACCATCACATCGCAAGCACTAATATTCAAAAGGAAATCAGCATCGGCCAGTTCAAATATGAACTCACCTCAGTTTCAAAAGGAAATCAGCCTCGGCCAGTTCAAATATGAACTCGCCTCAGCTTCAAAAGGAAATCAACCTCGGCCAGTTCAATTATGAACCCGCCTCAGCTTCAAAAGGAAAATCAGCCTCAGCCAACTCGAATATGAACTTGCCTATGCTTCAAAAGGACTTCAGCTTTAAAGACAACTTCGTTAACCTTATGCATTAAATAACTTCTTAAAAGTCCACGCATGGCATAAAATAACCATACATGGACTTGGGGGTCTATTGTTACGGTTCGTAATTGAAGCTTCACGTTGTACCATATTGCAGTGGTGAGACCAGCTTAGTTGAACCAGGGTGTATTTTCCTAGCCTTTGACATGGAGGCCGAGGCCCCAGCTTATTCCGAGGCCTTAATTGATCCGAGGCTTTCGTTTATTACGGGGCTATAATATTAATGAAGATCCACGTGGAAAAGATATAGCAAAGATGAAGATCTTTACGTGAGTGATTGATGTGACTTTTATGAAAAGTAACATTATGTCTTGTCTTGTCAATGTAAGAGTATTTAATATTTTGTAAGGATAGAAAAGTCAACTTGATTGCTAGGATTTGATGCCCTAGCCGGGGAGATGAGGCCACATGTAAATTGATCCAAAGATCATTATTTCATTTGTAACACTATAAATACCCCCACCATGTAACACAAAAAGGGTAATGAAATTCCAAATACTTAAAGCAATATAATTTTCTCTCCTCTCTCGTTTAACAACATTTTTATACTACAAATCATGTTCTTTAACAATTGGTTTCTTATACAATCGAGTTATGTTTATTTTGCCGGATGCCTAAACGGAGACGTCTCGTGTCTTTGAGTTACTCCCACATTCAATTTCTGGAGTCATCTTGACCGTTGATCGGCATTAACGTGTTGGATCAAGCTTACGTGTGCACGAGTGGGCCTGGCATCCGTTGACAACATTTTTTGGAGTCAACTGACAAGATTACAAGTTTTCTAGTACAAATTTTTAGATTTCAGTAACAATTTCATCTTCTATTTTCATTTCATTATCCAATCTCTTTATGAGTTCATTTTTTCATGTAATTTACAGCACAATCTACTTTACAAAATGTTTCAATTTTA